TGATGGGTCACTAGATCACCTGATGGGTCACTAGATCACCTGATGGGTCACTAGTCATTAGATAACCTGATGGGTCACTAGATCACCTGGTGGGTCACTAGATCACTTGATGGGTCACTAGTCATTAGATAACCTGATGGGTCACTAGATCACCTGATGGGTCAAAAGATCACATGATGGGTCACCTGATGGGTCATTAGATCACCTGATGGGTCACTAGATAAACCGGATGGGTCACTAGATCACCTAATGGGTCACTAGATAAACCGGATGGGTCACTAGATCACCTGATGGGTCACTAGATCACCTGATGGGTCACTAGATCACCTGATGGGTCAAAAGATCACATGATGGGTCACCTGATGGGTCATTAGATCACCTAATGGGTCACTAGATAAACCGGATGGGTCACTAGATCACCTAATGGGTCACTAGATAAACCGGATGGGTCACTAGATCACCTGATGGGTCACTAGATCACATGATGGGTCACTAGATCACCTGATGGGTCACTAGATCACTTGATGGGTCACTAGTCACTAGATAACCTGATGGGTCACTAGATCACCTGATGGGTCAAAAGATCACATGATGGGTCACCTGATGGGTCATTAGATCACCTAATGGGTCACTAGATAAACCGGATGGGTCACTAGATCACCTAATGGGTCACTAGATAAACCGGATGGGTCACTAGATCACCTGATGGGTCACTAGATCACCTGATGGGTCACTAGATCACCTGATGGGTCAAAAGATCACATGATGGGACACCTGATGGGTCATTAGATCACCTAATGGGTCACTAGATAAACCGGATGGGTCACTAGATCACCTAATGGGTCACTAGATAAACCGGATGGGTCACTAGATCACCTGATGGGTCACTAGATCACCTGATGGGTCACTAGATCACTTGATGGGTCACTAGATCACATGATGGGTCACTAGATCACTTGATGGGTCACTAGAACACTTGATGGGTCAATAGATCACCTGATGGGTCACTAGAACACTTGATGGGTCACTAGATCACCTGATGGGTCACTAGATCACCTGATGGGTCACTAGATCACTTGATGGGTCACTAGATCACCTGATGGGTCACTAGATCACATGATGGGTCACTAGATCACCTGATGGGTCACTAGATCACTTGATGGGTCACTAGATCACCTGATGGGTCACTAGATCACTTGATGGGTCACTAGATCACCTGATGGGTCACATGATGGGTCACTAGATCACCTGATGGGTCACTAGATCACCTGATGGGTCACTAGATCACCTGATGGGTCACTAGATCACTTGATGGTTCACTAGATCACCTGATGGGTCACTAGATCACTTGATGGGTCACTAGATCACCTGATGGGTCACTAGATCACCTGATGGGTCACTAGATCACCTGATGGGTCACTAGATCACTTGATGGGTCACTAGATCACCTGATGGGTCACTAGATCACCTGATGGGTCACTAGATCACCTGATGGGTCACTAGATCACTTGATGGGTCACTCACCTGATGGGTCACATGATGGGTCACTAGATCACTTGATGGGTCACTAGATCACTTGATGGTTCACTAGATCACCTGATGGGTCACTAGATCACTTGATGGGTCACTAGATCACATGATGGGTCACTAGATCACCTGATGGGTCACTAGATCACCTGATGGGTCACTAGATCACCTGATGGGTCACTAGATCACTTGATGGTTCACTAGATCACCTGATGGGTCACTAGATCACTTGATGGGTCACTAGATCACATGATGGTTCACTAGATCACCTGATGGGTCACTAGATCACTTGATGGGTCACTAGATCACCTGATGGGTCACTAGATCACCTGATGGGTCACTAGATCACCTGATGGGTCACTAGATCACCTGATGGGTCACTAGATCACATGATGGTTCACTAGATCACCTGATGGGTCATTAGATCACCTGATGGGTCACTAGATCACCTAATGGGTCACTAGATCACTTGATGGGTCACTAGATCACCTGATGGGTCACTAGATCACCTGATGGGTCATTAGATCACCTGATGGGTCACCTGATGTGTCATTAGATCACCTTATGGGTCATTAGATCTCCTGATGGGTCACTAGATCACCTAATGGGTCACTAGATCACTTGATGGGTCACTAGATCACCTGATGGGTCATTAGATCACCTGATGGGTCATTAGATCACCTGATGGGTCACCTGATGTGTCATTAGATCACCTTATGGGTCATTAGATCACCTAATGGGTCACTAGATCACATGATGGGTCACTAGATCACCTGATGGGTCACTAGATCACCTGATGGGTCATTAGATCACCTGATGGGTCACCTGATGTGTCATTAGATCACCTTATGGGTCATTAGATCACCTAATGGGTCACTAGATCACATGATGGGTCACTAGATCACCTAATGGGTCACCTTATGGATCACTTGATCACGTGATTAGGGAGGATGAGCTGAAGTTGAGGCAACAAATTCTAATCCACACAACCAACACAATCCACACAAACACAATCCACACAACCAACACAATCCACACAATCACAATCCACACAACCAACACAATCCACACAAACACAATCCACACAACCAACACAATCCACACAAACAATCCACACAACCAACACAATCCACACAAACACAATCCACACAACCAACACAATCCACACAAACATAATCCACATAACCAACACAATCCACACAAACACAATCCACACAACTAACACAATCCACACAAACACAATCCACACAACCAACACAATCCACACAAACACAATCCACTCAACCAACACAATCCACACAAACACAATCCACACAACCAACACAATCCACACAAACACAATCCACTCAACCAACACAATCCACACAAACACAATCCACACAACCAACACAATCCACACAAATACAATCCACACAACCAACACAATCCACACAAACACAATCCACACAGCCAACACAATCCACACAACCAACACAATCCACACAATCAAAATATCCACACAACCGACACACTATCTCGAGTTATTACAATGGATTGGTTGTAGAGTTTATTTTAAAATTTATAATTAATAAAAAAAACTTTTTATTAAATAAAACATATATAAACAAGAGAAATATTATAACAATATAATACAAATTATACATTTATAAAAAGCCTAATTACCCCGTAACTTTCGCGCTGATGGAATGAAAATAATAGCTCAAACTAATTATATACCAAGGATTGACTATTGACTAATTACTTTGGCACTAATTGTATACCAAGGACTGACTATTGACTAATTACTCAGGCACTTTGGCACTAATTATTGACCAAGGACTGACTATTGACTAATTACTCAGGCACTTTGGCACTAATTATTGACCAAGGACTGACTATTGACTAATTACTCAGGCACTTTGGCACTAATTATTGACCAAGGACTGACTATTGACTAATTACTCAGGCACTTTGGCACTAATTATTGACCAAGGACTGACTATTGACTAATTACTCAGGCACTTTGGCACTAATTATTGACCAAGGACTGACTATTGACTAATTACTCAGGCACTTTGGCACTAATTATTGACCAAGGACTGACTATTGACTAATTACTCAGGCACTTTGGCACTAGTTATTGACCAAGGACTGACTATTGACTAATTACTCAGGCACTTTGACACTAATTATTGACCAAGGACTGACTATTGACTAATTACTCAGGCACTTTGGCACTAATTATTGACCAAGCACTGACTATTGACTAATTACTCAGGCACTTTGGCACTAATTATTGACCAAGGACTGACTATTGACTAATTACTCAGGCACTTTGGCACTAATTATTGACCAAGGACTGACTATTGACTAATTACTCAGGCACTTTGGCACTAGTTATTGACCAAGGACTGACTATTGACTAATTACTCAGGCACTTTGGCACTAGTTATTGACCAAGGACTGACTATTGACTAATTACTCTGGCACTAATTATTGACCTAGGACTGACTATTGACTAATTACTCAGGCACTTTGGCACTAATTATTGACCAAGGACTGACTATTGACTAATTACTCAGGCACTTTGGCACTAATTATTGACCAAGGACTGACTATTGACTAATTACTCAGGCACTTTGGCACTAGTTATTGACCAAGGACTGACTATTGACTAATTACTCAGGCACTTTGACACTAATTATTGACCAAGGACTGACTATTGACTAATTACTCAGGCACTTTGGCACTAATTATTGACCAAGCACTGACTATTGACTAATTACTCAGGCACTTTGGCACTAATTATTGACCAAGGACTGACTATTGACTAATTACTCAGGCACTTTGGCACTAATTATTGACCAAGGACTGACTATTGACTAATTACTCAGGCACTTTGGCACTAGTTATTGACCAAGGACTGACTATTGACTAATTACTCAGGCACTTTGGCACTAGTTATTGACCAAGGACTGACTATTGACTAATTACTCTGGCACTAATTATTGACCTAGGACTGACTATTGACTAATTACTCAGGCACTTTGGCACTAATTATTGACCAAGGACTGACTATTGACTAATTACTCAGGCACTTTGGCACTAGTTATTGACCAAGGACTGACTATTGACTAATTACTCAGGCACTTTGACACTAATTATTGACCAAGGACTGACTATTGACTAATTACTCAGGCACTTTGGCACTAATTATTGACCAAGGACTGACTATTGACTAATTACTCAGGCACTTTGGCACTAATTATTGACCAAGGACTGACTATTGACTAATTACTCAGGCACTTTGGCACTAATTATTGACCAAGGACTGACTATTGACTAATTACTCAGGCACTTTGGCACTAGTTATTGACCAAGGACTGACTATTGACTAATTACTCAGGCACTTTGGCACTAGTTATTGACCAAGGACTGACTATTGACTAATTACTCTGGCACTAATTATTGACCTAGGACTGACTATTGACTAATTACTCAGGCACTTTGACACTACTGACCCAAGAGTCCGGCACTACCATAGGAGCAAGACTGAGGTCAAATACGTCCATGTCTTCCACTAATGTTTTCACGCTGATCTTCTCAAACAACCCGGGCAATGACGTCAGCATCGTCGAGTAGTCTGTCCCGGCATCTATTTGGAACAAAATCAACTCTTCTTTGTAGCAAACCGCCCCCGACAGCTTCCAGTCGAACTGTCGCCACAGACGGTTGACAACTGTGAAGTGGATCGTGTTGTCTCTACCCCGGAAGACTGACAGTAAAGCGCCGCTAGACAGTAGCAGATACAGGTGGTTGCCTTTTTGCACGGACACAATGTTTTGATTAGAGACCTGGTTGGGTATTTCAACGGTTGACATGGATTTAGACTTCAAGCTGTAGCAGTTGACGGTCATATTGTACGTTCGATGCCGTTCGTCATATGTATCAGCATTGTTGAAGAGTAGGATGGTGTCGTCAAACACGCAGGAGAACTTAAAATGGATATTTAGGTCCATTTTGAGAGTCTGGAACAAGTCTGGGTCCAGAACTCGACTCCTGTTGGCGGAGTGGCAGACGTTGAGAACCTTGCCGTGGGCAGACACCAGCGTGATGGGCATGGCTTGGTTACCGCACACCTCGTACAGGGTAGAGATGTTTTGGTTCTCGTCAATGATTTGGATAGCTTTGGGCCGGCACTTGTGTTTGGCGTAGGAACATTCGCTTTTGAACTTGGCACACACAAAGGCGAGTTTGGACCCGAGGGAGACGACAGGGTCGCTAGTTTTACACTTTCCGTTGAGCTGCTTGAGCTTAACGGTGGTCAGACTTCGACTCTCCAGGTCGTAGAGCCGAAGGTTCGATTTGACCACGTAGGCGACCACATTCTTTTTCCCACAAGACTTCCTGTAGGGTATCAGAAGGGAACTTTCGTGAGGGTACACGCCGACCTTGAACTTGAGAGCTTCCTGCACTACTTCAAGAGCAGACGGACATGCGCACACGTAGGGGTTAGTGAGCAAACTTTGTAGATAACTCTGGCTCGCTAAAACAATTTTAGCGCTTGTAAACAATTGGGCGAGGTAGTCTGCTCTGTCGTCTGCTGGGTGGTCGAGGCCCGAGTTGTTACTTGTGTCGTCTGGCGAGTCATCAGACTGCAAATAGTCTTTGACGTTATCATACAGCCAATCGTCTGAGTCGTCATCCGACTGGTCGTCAGGGTCCCGGGCCCCAGCCTCTCCCCCCGTGTGCTTGTCGTCAGGTGACAGAGCGGTGCCGGGTCGATATCTCCCACGTGACACCCAGCTCAAGATCCCGTCTAGAACAACTTCCTCACTCGCAACATTCAGCTCGTCATCCTCTACAAAGGATAGGACCACAGGAAATGGCAAGTTCAGAAACTCCTCCGTCGCATAAACTTGTTCGAAGTTTAGCTTCATGAAACTTATCATGGCGTCTTTCACGTTTTTTGAATTAAAGTCAGTGGCCGCTTGATAGAAGTTTGAAAAATTGTCAAGAGACAAATTGTCGATTACGTACTGCTCACACACTTGCAGGTAGGTCTCTGTGTCCAGCCGATTGGCCGCCTCCCAAACATCGTCAATGTTCTCCGCCGTCAGGCCAGGCACTCGCTTGTGGATGAACCCTAGAACTGTAGCAAAGGTCTTACTACGCATGCCCGTCAACTCCACGCGACCTTCCTGCGCCTCCTTCATGTTGCTCCTGAACATGGCGTCAAAGTACTTGGAGGCTGCGCTCAGCAGTTTGCGCCAGCTTTTGAACTCTTTGCCGTCAACCACGATGACAAAATCACACGACACGGGGTCGAGGGTCTCCTTTCTCCTCATGCCCGTCCTTAGGTCGAGAGACTCGGGTGGTCCAGACATCTTGGGGAGTGGACAGTCTGTCAAAGTGTTTAGTTAAGGTTAGAGGTTTACCAGACATCTTGGGGAGTGGACAGTCTGTCAAAGTGTTTGGTTAAGGTTAGAGGTTTACCAGACATCTTGGGGAGTGGACAGTCTGTCAAAGTGTTTAGGTAAGGTTTACCAGACATCTTGGGTAGTGGACAGTCTGTCAAAGTGTTTAGTTAAGGTTAGAGGTTTACCAGACATCTTGGGGAGTGGACAGTCTGTCAAAGTGTTTAGGTAAGGTTTACCAGACATCTTGGGGAGTGGACAGTCTGTCAAAGTGTTTGGTTAAGGTTAGAGGTTTACCAGACATCTTGGGGAGTGGACAGTCTGTCAAAGTGTTTAGGTAAGGTTTACCAGACATCTTGGGGAGTGGACAAATTGTCAAAGTGTTAAGTTAAGGTTAAAGGTTTACCAGACATCTTGGGGAGTGGACAGTCTGTCAAAGTGTTTAGGTAAGGTTTACCAGACATCTTGGGGAGTGGACAGTCTGTCAAAGTGTTTGGTTAAGGTTAGAGGTTTACCAGACATCTTGGGGAGTGGACAGTCTGTCAAAGTGTTTAGGAAAGGTTTACCAGACATCTTGGGGAGTGGACAGTCTGTCAAAGTGTTTAGTTAAGGTTAGAGGTTTACCAGACATCTTGGGGAGTGGACAGTCTGTCAAAGTGTTTAGGTAAGGTTTACCAGACATCTTGGGGAGTGGACAGTCTGTCAAAGTGTTTAGTTAAGGTTAGAGGTTTACCAGACATCTTGGGGAGTGGACAGTCTGTCAAAGTGTTTAGGTAAGGTTTACCAGACATCTTGGGGAGTGGACAGTCTGTCAAAGTGTTTAGTTAAGGTTAGAGGTTTACCAGACATCTTGGGGAGTGGACAGTCTGTCAAAGTGTTTAGGTAAGGTTTACCAGACATCTTGGGGAGTGGACAGTCTGTCAAAGTGTTTAGTTAAGGTTAGAGGTTTACCAGACATCTTGGGGAGTGGACAGTCTGTCAAAGTGTTTAGTTAAGGTTAGAGGTTTACCAGACATCTTGGGTAGTGGACAGTCTGTCAAAGTGTTTAGTTAAGGTTAGAGGTTTACCAGACATCTTGGGGAGTGGACAGTCTGTCAAAGTGTTTAGTTAAGGTTAGAGGTTTACCAGACATCTTGGGGAGTGGACAGTCTGTCAAAGTGTTTGGTTAAGGTTAGAGGTTTACCAGACATCTTGGGTAGTGGACAGTCTGTCAAAGTGTTTGGTTAAGGTTAGAGGTTTACCAGATGGACAGTCTGTCAAAGTGTTTAGGTAAGGTTTACCAGACATCTTGGGGAGTGGACAGTCTGTCAAAGTGTTTGGTTAAGGTTAGACGTTTACCAGATGGACAGTCTGTCAAAGTGTTTAGGTAAGGTTTACCAGACATCTTGGGGAGTGGACAGTCTGTCAAAGTGTTTAGTTAAGGTTAGAGGTTTACCAGATGGACAGTCTGTCAAAGTGTTTAGGTAAGGTTTACCAGACATCTTGGGGAGTGGACAGTCTGTCAAAGTGTTTGGTTAAGGTTAGACGTTTACCAGACATCTTGGGGAGTGGACAGTCTGTCAAAGTGTTTAGGTAAGGTTTACCAGACATCTTGGGTAGTGGACAGTCTGTCAAAGTGTTTAGGTAAGGTTAGAGGTTTACCAGACATCTTGGGGAGTGGACAGTCTGTCAAAGTGTTTAGGTAAGGTTTACCAGACATCTTGGGGAGTGGACAGTCTGTCAAAGTGTTTAGTTAAGGTTAGAGGTTTACCAGACATCTTGGGGAGTGGACAGTCTGTCAAAGTGTTTAGGTAAGGTTTTCCAGACATCTTGGGAAGTGGACAGTCTGTCAAAGTGTTAAGTTAAGGTTAGAGGTTTACCAGACATCTTGGGGAGTGGACAGTCTGTCAAAGTGTTTAGGTAAGGTTTACCAGACATCTTGGGGAGTGGACAGTCTGTCAAAGTGTTTAATAAAGGTTAGAGGTTTGGTCAAAACAACCAAAAGTCGTAATATATACTATGACCAGGGGCGTAGCGAGGGGGAGGGGGCGGGGGGTGCGGACCGCACCGGGTGACACCATTTAGCGGGGTGACACCAAGGCAAAAAATAGCAAAATATATAGAGAAAAACTTGAGGGGGGGTGCAAATCGAAAGTTTGAGGGGGGGGGGTGCAAATCGAAAACTTGAAAGTTTGTCCCCGGGAAGGGTCGCAACGCCTCTGGGGGGTGACACCATTAAGTGCCGCACCGGGTGACACCCGACCTCGCTACGCCACTGACTATGACTAAAACCTCATAAACCTAAGAAGAAAAGTATCCATATACTAAAGTCGTAATACATAAGATGACTAAAACCTTATAACCCTAACCCAACGTATCCATACACTAAAGTAAACCCCAGTATCCATGCAACCCAGAAGTCATAAACCTTAGTTACTATGTCAGTAAGATCCCTTTATCCATAGACCTTCTTATCCATGAATCCCACGAATTATATTAAAACCTTATAGCTAAAAATTAAATATCACCTTCTTTATCACCGTCTGTCAATAATTAAATCAAATGACAGAGTGTAAAATGTTTCAATGTGCGAACCAATGTCGTTTGTTGACAAATAGAGTGTAACTAAGTAATGAGTCACATCCGTTCATTTGAAACAGTTTCTTTCTCGGTTTTATAGATTAAGCACTACAAAGATGCACAGTCGCTATTTTATAGGATACAGAGGCGTAGCGAGGGGGGGGGGGGGGGCGGGGACCTCGCTATGCCACTGATTGTATAGGATAAGCACTACAAGATGCGCAGTAGATGGATCGTAAAGTAACAGTTTTTAGACTGTTTTTCAAACATTTTATTTCAAGATGTAATTAATTTATGGTATCGCCCATAACATATTAAGGTAGTATAGAATTTGTGTTAAGAGTTAGGATTCTAACTTGAGGTGGGGGGGGGGGGGTACAACCCGGGGGTTGGGGTTAATAGACACGGGGTATTTGACAGAGGGGAGTGCCCGGGGGTAATTGACGGGTGGGGGGAGGGTAATGTCCTGTACCCGATGAATGGATAGGTCTGAGATGATACGGGTGTGGGTATGGATAAGTAGATGGAAACAATAGAATATGGATCTTGATGCATATCTATCTATATGGCCATCTGTCTGACGTCCAAAAAACTTATGTGACCTTCTGTCTGTCATCCAACAAAGTTATATGACCTTTTGTCTGACGTCCAACAAACTTTGTGTTGCAGGCCCTGTTGGCCAGGAAACAAGAACCAGCAGAAGACACTGCGTATGAAACACGTTTGGCGAACCTGACCAAAGATTTTCTAAACGTTATTTCAAACCTTGATTCACCCACCACGACACAAGAGAGTTAGGGTTAGCCAGTCTAAACGTTATTTCAAACCTTGATTCACCCACCGCGACACAAGAAAGTTAGGGTTTAGCCAGTCTAAACGTTATTTCAAACCTTGATTCACCCACCACGACACAAGAGAGTTAGGGTTAGCCAGTCTAAACGTTATTTCAAACCTTGATTCACCCACCACGACACAAGAGAGTTAGGGTTAGCCAGTCTAAACGTTATTTCAAACCTTGATTCACCCACCACGACACAAGAGAGTTAGGGTTAGCCAGTCTAAACGTTATTTCAAACCTTGATTCACCCACCACGACACAAGAGAGTTAGGGTTAGCCAGTCTAAACGTTATTTCAAACCTTGATTCACCCACCACGACACAAGAGAGTTAGGGTTAGCCAGTCTAAACGTTATTTCAAACCTTGATTCACCCACCACGACACAAGAGAGTTAGGGTTAGCCAGTCTAAACGTTATTTCAAACCTTGATTCACCCACCACGACACAAGAGAGTTAGGGTTAGCCAGTCTAAACGTTATTTCAAACCTTGATTCACCCACCGCGACACAAGAAAGTTAGGGTTTAGCCAGTCTAAACGTTATTTCAAACCTTGATTCACCCACCGCGACACAAGAAAGTTAGGGTTTAGCCAGTCTAAACGTTATTTCAAACCTTGATTCACCCACCACGACACAAGAGAGTTAGGGTTAGCCAGTCTAAACTTTATTTCAAACCTTGATTCGCCCACCGCGACACAAGAAAGTTAGGGTTTAGCCAGTCTAAACGTTATTTCAAACCTTGATTCACCCACCACGACACAAGAGAGTTGGGGTTTAGCCAGTCCAAACGTTATTTCAAACCTTGATTCACCCACCACGACACAAGAGAGTTGGGGTTTAGCCAGTCTAAACGTTATTTCAAACCTGGATTTACCCACCACGGCACAAGAGAGTTAGGGTTTAGCCAGGGTTAAGATTCAACAGTCCTATGTAGGGTCAGGATTAAACTGGCCTAAGCTAGGGTTAAGATTAAACGGCATTACATAAGGGTCAGGATAAAAACTGGCATTGCCAGTGTCAGGGTCAATTTCGCCAAATCCAGGCTTCAGGTTAAACTGACCCTAATTATGGATAGTGAAAATACAACGTTAAAAACCTCATACATAAAAGACAAGATTACGCTAAATTTTAACACACACATTTACCCCACATTAAAAACACGATTAGCATTCAAGTTTAACACACTAAACGAGAGACAAGATTAGCGCTAAAGTTTAACACACTACCCCATATAGCAGACAAGATTAACGCTAAAGTTTAACACACTACCCCATATAGCAGACAAGATTAACGCTAAAGTTTAACACACTACCCCATATAACAGACAAGATTAACGCTAAAGTTTAACACACTACCCCATATAACAGACAAGATTAACGCTAAAGTTTAACACACTACCCCATATAACAGACAAGATTAACGCTAAAGTTTAACACACTACCCCATATAACAGACAAGATTAACGCTAAAGTTTAACACACTACCCCATATAACAGACAAGATTAACTCTAAAGTTTAACACACTACCCCATATAACAGACAAGATTAACTCTAAAGCTTAACACACTACCCCATATAGCAGACAAGATTAACTCTAAAGTTTAACACACTACCCCATATAACAGACAAGATTAGCGCTAAAGTTTAACACACTACCCCATATAACAGACAAGATTAACTCTAAAGCTTAACACACTACCCTACATAACAGGCAAGGTTAGCGCTAAAGTTTAACACACTACCCCACATAACAGACAAGATTAGCGCTAAAGTTTAACACACTACCCCACATAACAGACAAGGATAGCGCTTAAGTTTAACACACTACCCCATATAACAGACAAGATTAGCGCTAAAGTTTAACACACTACCCCATATAGCAGACAAGATTAACGCTAAAGTTTAACACACTACCCCATATAACAGACAAGATTAACGCTAAAGTTTAACACACTACCCCATATAACAGACAAGATTAACGCTAAAGTTTAACACACTACCCCATATAACAGACAAGATTAACTCTAAAGCTTAACACACTACCCCATATAACAGACAAGATTAACTCTAAAGCTTAACACACTACCCCATATAGCAGACAAGATTAACTCTAAAGTTTAACACACTACCCCATATAACAGACAAGATTAGCGCTAAAGTTTAACACACTACCCCATATAACAGACAAGATTAACTCTAAAGCTTAACACACTACCCTACATAACAGGCAAGGTTAGCGCTAAAGTTTAACACACTACCCCACATAACAGACAAGATTAGCGCTAAAGTTTAACACACTACCCCACATAACAGACAAGATTAGCGCTAAAGTTTAACACACTACCCCACATAACAGACAAGGATAGCGCTTAAGTTTAACACACTACCCCATATAACAGATAAGATTAACGCTTAGACGTCGTAGTGTAATCTTGCTCTTTACTTTACTTACGTAATATTTGCCAAACATTTAAACAGTTTTTGCAATAAAAAAAAACTCCGTTAAAATACTCAGCTAGAGTTGCTCTTACTTTACCTTGACCTTTAAGCTACGTCTGATGAAAGAACCTGCACAATTCCTCAAGTAACCGACCCAGTCACCTTCCCTCTTCCACACATTTGACTAATCTCTCGCTAATCCGACCCTATAAACTCCCTCCCCCATAAATAATCTACTTGGCTATTCCCTAAAAAACCGTTACTGTGTATTTTAATATCATGGAAAACAATTGTTGTGATTTTTATTGTTTTACTTTCCCTGGCCTGCCCGGTTGACTTCAAGGACTTGAAGAAATATTTGAACAAATAAAATAATTTTTTAACGGCTTTTTAACGGCTTATATTCAACACAAAAATATGAAAATGAGTGTAATCGATGGTTCCCAAACAGCTATAATTTTTAAAAATGTAAATATAATTTTATCGCTTGCCATATTTTTGTCACGATTTAAAAAGAAAATATTATGATTACATACTTTTTAAGCCTATTAAAATAAATGCTGAGCACTTGATTAATTTTCATCATTTTTCCAATCATAAATATAAAACAGATGCAGATTATTATACTTATTTTAAATTAAAAGAAAAAAGTTTATAGGATTATTTTACACAATAGTAGGATGCTTTTTTACAATATCTTTTCAGTATGTATCAATCTATTTATCGAATTCAAATCTAAACATGTTAATTTACTCGATCAAAGTATAAAGAATCATCTTTTAAATGAGAAAAAATTGTACGATGTCACAGACTGCTAAAAGAAGGTCGCACCGTATGGTGAAGTTTACAGCACACATTTGAGAATCCTTGGTGAATAGCAGTTTGATGGGAAAAACTGAATGGCCCCAGGACATGTGTCTATGTTCAAAGCCACGTCTAATCTAACACCCACACGTCACGAATCTTTACTTGGTTGCATGACCGTGTAGGTAGGTTCGTTAGCTGGACACAGTAGGCCTAGAGTTTGGCTACTTCTGTTGACAGTGTAGGCAGGTACATTGGCTGCCTCTGTTACAGTACAGTGCAACAGATTCGTTAGCTGGACACATTTTAGATTGGCTACCTCTGTTCACAGTGTTGAAATTGAAGTTGCTACTTGTGGCAAAAATTAATCAAAATATGGCTACCTCTGATCAAATCAATAACACCAACACAATGATAAATAACGTGGAAAAACTATTAGACAATCTCGAAGGCATTGAAGAGCTGCTTCTAAGTTTGAAAGACAAATATTTAGAAGTAAGTGTATTTTTTTTTATACTTTTAACTTAAGGTACATTTTACCGCAGTAAAATAATTAAATATTTTGTCACCTCTATAAACTGAACCATCATAGCCAAACAAATAAAATGATACAATTGTCCACAGTAATAAAAAAAAAAAAATTCATAAAAAACGTTTTAATAACAAGCTTTTATGTAATAATGCACTAAAAAGTAGAAAATAAATTATAGACTACTATTTAAATAACTATAAAGAAAAGCGTGGGTCACTTTAGTATCTATTGGATACCTTTACTAATGTTAAGGAAGACACCCACGCTTTTCTTTATAGTTATTTAAATAGTAGTCTATAATTTATTTTCTACTTTTTAGTGCATTATTACATAAAAGCTTGTTATTAAAACGTTTTTTATGAATTTTTTTTCAGTACTTTACATGTTTTATTTACAATAGAGTTACATGACTAAAAACCATTGCGCGCCTACTGAACGTGATGGCGAAGCTATTGAACGTACCGTGATGGCGCAGCTATTGAACGTGATGACGCGTGTGGTGTGGTTGGCTAGACATGCCTTACTAATTCGGTCCAAGTTTTAATTAATTCATAAAAAATCAATTAGGCATCCAATTAAGTCAACTTTAGTTTCAGATTGCATTGTCTTCATGTCTTGACCCACGTGCCAAATGTGAATCGTATCGGTCAAGTAGAAGTTTCCGAATTTTCACTCCTGCGTTTCGATCTAGACTGACGACTGACGACTGACGACAGAGAAAGTGAGTTAAATAAAAGCTTGTAATAAATGAATGTTTTTCACTTGTGTACATTTAAATATAGTTTTAATCCAGAGTTCACAGATCTTGGAAATCCTACAAATGTAGAAAAGCCCGTACATTTTAAATAGCCCGTACATTTAGAAATGCCACCCTATTTAGAAAATCATAAGCAATTAGAAAAAAAAACCACAAACCTCTCAATTTTGTACAAGGTACTGAGCTTACCACATGACCCCACTGAATATAGTAGTTTGAGCTGTTTAACTGAGGCTTTAAGACACATTTTAAAGACCCTTTTAATGATAACTAGAGAAAGAATTGAAAGTAAAATAAATTACTTACTTACTTACTTAATCCTCATCACTCCCTGTGGAGTATAGGGCAACAACAAATCTCCGCCATTCCACCCTGTCCTGGGCGAGCCACTTTAGTTCATGCCAGGTTTTAAAAATAAATTGGATGTATGCAAAAAGAAAATAGTAACAGGGGAGCAAACTATGTTAGTAATGTGTAATAGTTATTGTTAGATTAGTTCCCTTTGCATGACAGTCCGGCTAAACCACATGCATTGATAAACCGCTCCTCCATAATTACCCCCCCCCCCCCATCTTCCAGCAGGTTGGGGACAGTGAGGCCAGTGATGACCAGTCCAAAGTCCTGACCTTTGACCCCCCCATCTTCCAGCAGGGTGGGGACAGTGCGGCCAGTGATGACCAGTCCAAAGTTCTGACCTTTGACCCCCCCCCCCCTTCCCCCATCTTCCATCAGGTTGGGGACAGTGAGGCCAGTGATGACCAGTCCAAAGTCCTGACCTTTGACCCCCCCCATCTTCCAGCAGGGTGGGGACAGTGAGGCCAGTGATGACCAGTCCAAAGTCCTGACCTTTGACCCCCCCCCCCCTTCCCCCATCTTCCATCAGGTTGGGGACAGTGAGGCCAGTGATGACCAGTCCAAAGTTCTGACCTTTGACCCCCCCCTTCCCCCATCTTCCATCAGGTTGGGGACAGTGAGGCCAGTGATGACCAGTCCAAAGTTCTGACCTTTGACCCCCTACCCCCCCCCCATCTTCCAGCAGGGTGGGGACAGTGAGGCCAGTGATGACCAGTCCAAAGTTCTGACCTTTGACCCCCCCCCCCCCTTCCCCCATCTTCCATCAGGTTGGGGACAGTGAGGCCAGTGATGACCAGTCCAAAGTCCTGACCTTTGACCCCCCCCCATCTTCCAGCAGGGTGGGGACAGTGAGGCCAGTGATGACCAGTCCAAAGTCCTGACCTTTGACCCCCCCCCCCCCTTCCCCCATCTTCCATCAGGTTGGGGACAGTGAGGCCAGTGATGACCAGTCCAAAGTTCTGACCTTTGACCCCCCCCCCCCTTCCCCCATCTTCCATCAGGTTGGGGACAGTGAGGCCAGTGATGACCAGTCCAAAGTTCTGACCTTTGACCCCCCCCCTTCCCCCATCTTCCATCAGGTTGGGGACAGTGAGGCCAGTGATGACCAGTCCAAAGTTCTGACCTTTGACCCCCCCCCCCCCTTCCCCCATCTTCCATCAGGTTGGGGACAGTGAGGCCAGTGATGACCAGTCCAAAGTTCTGACCTTTGACCCCCCACCCCTCCCCCCATCTTCCGGCAGGTTGGGGACAGTGAGGCCAGTGATGACCAGTCCAAAGTCCTGACCTTTGACCCCCCTCCCATCTTCCATCAGGTTGGGGACAGTGAGGCCAGTGATGACCAGTCCAAAGTTCTGACCTTTGACCCCCCCTCCCCCCATCTTCCATCAGGTTGGGGACAGTGAGGCCAGTGATGACCAGTCCAAAGTTCTGACCTTTGACCCCCTACCCCCCCCCCCCATCTTCCAGCAGGGTGGGGACAGTGAGGCCAGTGATGACCAGTCCAAAGTTCTGACCTTTGACCCCCCACCCCTCCATCTTCTAGCAGGGTGGGGACAGTGAGGCCAGTGATGACCAGTCCAAAGTTCTGACCTTTGACCCCCCACCCCTCCCCCCATCTTCCGGCAGGTTGGGGACAGTGAGGCCAGTGATGACCAGTCCAAAGTTCTGACCTTTGACCCCCCCTCCCCCCATCTTCCATCAGGTTGGGGACAGTGAGGCCAGTGATGACCAGTCCAAAGTTCTGACCTTTGACCCCCCACCCCTCCATCTTCTAGCAGGGTGGGGACAGTGAGGCCAGTGATGACCAGTCCAAAGTTCTGACCTTTGACCCCCCTCCCCATCTTCCAGCAGGGTGGGGACAGTGAGGCCAGTGATGACCAGTCCAAAGTTCTGACCTTTGACCCCCCCCCATCTTCCAGCAGGGTGGGGACAGTGAGGCCAGTGATGACCAGTCCAAAGTTCTGACCTTTGACCCCCCCCATCTTCCATCAGGTTGGGGACAGTGAGGCCAGTGATGACCAGTCCAAAGTTCTGACCTTTGACCCCCCACCCCTCCATCTTCTAGCAGGGTGGGGACAGTGAGGCCAGTGATGACCAGTCCAAAGTTCTGACCTTTGACCCCCCATCCCCCAATCTTCCAGCAGAGTAGGGACAGTGAGGCCAGTGATGACCAGTCCAAAGTTCTGACCTTTGACCCCCCCCCCCATCTTCCAGCAGGGTGGGGACAGTGAGGCCAGTGATGACCAGTCCAAAGTTCTGACCTTTGACCCCCCACCCCTCCATCTTCTAGCAGGGTGGGGACAGTGAGGCCAGTGATGACCAGTCCAAAGTTCTGACCTTTGACCCCCCCCATCTTCCAGCAGGGTGGGGACAGTGAGGCCAGTGATGACCAGTCCAAAGTTCTGACCTTTGACCCCCCCCCCCCTTCCCCCATCTTCCAGCAGGGTGGGGACAGTGAAGCCAGTGATGACCAGTCCAAAGTTCTGACCTTTGACCCCCCCCCCTTCCCCCATCTTCCAGCAGGGTGGGGACAGTGAGGCCAGTGATGACCAGTCCAAAGTTCTGACCTTTGACCCCCACCCCCCCCCCCATCTTCCAGGAGGGTGGGGACAGTGGGGCCAGTGATGACCAGTCCAAAGTCCTGATGTTCCAAAAGTTCCAAGACGGGATTGAGGCGGCCCAAAATGTGGTCGGCATACTGAAGGCGGAGAAATGGCGGCTGAGCAGACGTCAGATGAGCGTGGAACTGCGCATGGGCGAACTGGAGGACTACAAGCTGCATCTGAAGAAGGACATGGTCAGTTGTACATCTTTTTAGACATGGTCAGTTCTACATCTTTTTAGACATGGTCAGTTCTACATCTTTTTGGACATGGTCAGTTATACAACTTTTTAGACATGGTCAGTTCTACATCTTTTTAGACATGGTCAGTTCTACATCTTTTTTAGATAAATAAAGTGTTGTAGTGCCCCTTTGATAAAGATTGTGTTGTAAACCTAACAACTGTCCTCTAATCTCGCCACTAATCTCGCCACTAATCTCGCCTCTAATCTCGCCACTAATCTTGCCTCTAATCTCGCCACTAATCTCGCCTCTAATCTCGCCACTAATCTCGCCACTAATCTCGCCTCTAATCTCGCCACTAATCTCGCCACTAATCTCGCCACTAATCTCGCCACTAATCTCGCCACTAATCTCGCCTCTAATCTCGCCACTAATCTCGCCAATAATCTCGCCTGTTATCTCGCCTCTAATCTCGCCACTAATCTCGCCACTAATCTCGCCACTAATCTCGCCACTAATCTCGCCACTAATCTCGCCACTAATCTCGCCACTAATCTCGCTACTAATCTCGCCACTAATCTCGCCTCTAATCTCGCCACTAATCTCGCCACTAATCTCGCCACTAATCTCGCCACTGATCTCGCCAATAATCTCGCCTGTTATCTCGCCTCTAATCTCGCCACTAATCTCGCCACTAATCTCGCCACTAATCTCGCCAATAATCTCGCCTGTTATCTCGCCTCTAATCTCGCCACTAATCTCGCCACTAATCTCGCCACTAATCTCGCCACTAATCTCGCCACTAATCTCGCCACTAATCTCGCCACTAATCTCGCATCTAATCTCGCCTCTAACCTCACCTCTAATCTCGCTTAATCTCGCCTCTAATCTCGCCAGTCCTCACTGAACGAGACTGTGGATGTCCTGAGCCTGAGGATTGTGCAGCTGGAGAACCAACTGGTTGACGCCCAGGAGAGGAATGAAGCCCTGGAGTGGGAGAGGAACGACTTCAAGAAACTTTACGAGGACTCGCTCAAGAAATGCTCAGGTCTTGCTGAATTTTCTGACATGTTTTTGTCATTTCATGTTTTGTCATCTCACACACAATTTTAAATATAACGGTAATTAATTAGTTATTTTTAACAGCCAACTTTTACCTGATGTACGAATTTTCATTCGTTTGACCTCTTTCTCTGGTATTCTACTTGCCTACAGTGTTTCTTTCAGATATTTCTACTGAGAGGGGGGGGGGGGGGGTTACATTGCTACCCGGAGCACGTCAAATAAAAATGTATAATCTATCGAAAATATAAACTTGGTATATATATATATTTTATACTTCGTATTTACTTTATAGAAATTATATATGACCCCCTCCAACAAAATTGCAAGCCCCCCCCCCCCCTCAAGCAGGGGAATACTGTCTGAAAGAAACCCAATTTGTCGACGTGATGGTTTAAATAATAACCGTAACGTATGCCATTTGATATAGAGATTTGGCTAACCAACAAAATAATAAAGTGTAAACCATCTAGTGTATAATTTTTTGATATCACGAGAAAGAGGTCTTTAATTAGATAAGTGGGTTTTATATATTTAACCATTGGCTTCGATTGTTTCAGAATACAACAAAAAGATGTCCGACATGGCGTCTCAGCTTCACAAGTCACGTGGTCCTTCATACAGCCAATCACAGCAGCCCAACTTTAGCGTGGAGAGTCTGCTCAAAGAAAACAAACAACTCAAGGTTAGTTGTTGGCAATATATGCGATTTTGTTTTAGTCGTTTTAATGAGCACAGGTTATTATTTTTTTTTGACATTTCATTTTTTAAAAATTCATAATTTAATTAGTTGTTTAAAATTATTTAACCAAAATTTTAAAGATTAGATAATTTTTTTTCGTGTCAAGCATGACTTTGTTAAACAATACTGACATTAAGCATGACTTAGCGACAAACTGCCTTGAATCCATTACATGTAGCATATAGCCTACATACGCAAGAAAAGTGATTTAACGATAAAATATCGGGAGGTAAATTGTGCTTGTAGGTATGTTTGTTGTTATCTGTGTGCGTCTTGAAGAGTGTGCGTGTTTACACATTATTTATTTTTGAAGAGTAGCATTTGAAGCCAGAATTCATTCAATGTTTTACCGAAGTTAAAGAAGTCATTTCCACATAACTCGTGTACAAATTATTTACTTTCCAAAAGATTTTGTCTTTCTACGATTATTTCCCTTTATTAATTTTTTTAAATTCATATAAGTGTTAGTTGTTATGTCCCTTTACCAACATGATGACACAAACTTGACCATCATTGTAGCCACTCTACAACTGAACAAACGCAATACATAGTAAAACAATGATACAGACAGATAAAGAAAAACTACATTTGTATGTCCTTCGTAAAGTGAACTCAGTATTTGATTCGTACAAAGCCGACTTCATTCTTTTGAAGTTCTGTGTTAAATTTTTGTTTAGCTTTAGTACCCAGCCTATGGGGCAACAAATCTGCGATTTAGTCTGCCTGACGTCCAACAAACTTGTAATGCCATTTGTCTGTCATCCAACAAAGTTGTGTGACCACCTGTCTATCATCCAACAAAGTTGTGTGACCACCTGTCTGTCATTCAACAAAGTTATGTGACCACCTGTCTGTCATCCAACAAAGTTGTGTGACCACCTGTCTGATGTCCAACAAACTTGTACTGCCATCTGTCTGTCATCCAACAAACTTATGTGACCGTTTGTCTGTCATCCAACAAACTTTATGTTGCAGGCCCTGTTGGCCATGAAACAAGAACCAGCAGACGACACAGCGTATGAAACACGTTTGGCGAACCTGACCAAAGATTTTCTAAACGTCATTTCAAACCTGGATTCACCCGATCCCACCACGACACAAGAGAGTTAGGGTTTAGCCAGAGTTAGGATTCATCTGTCCGGTGTAGAGCCAGGATTAAACTGGCCTAAGCTAGGGTTAAGATTAGACGGGCATGGGTTAGGGTCAGGATGAAAACTGGCATTGCCAGAATCAGGGTCAGACTCGCCAAATCCAGGCTTCAGGTTAAACTGACCCTAACTATGAATAGTGAAATACGACGTTAAAAATAGAGCTAAAGTTTAACACACAAACCCAGAGACACGATTAGCGCTAAAATTTTACACCACACTATAGGCAAGATTAGCGCTAAAGTTTAACACCCTACCCCATATAACAGACAAGATTAGCGCTAAAGTTTAACACCCTACCCCATATAACAGACAAGATTAGCGCTAAAGTTTAACACACTACCCCATATAACAGACAAGATTAGCGCTAAAGTTTAACACCCTACCCCATATAACAGACAAGATTAACACTAAAGTTTAACACACTAGCCCATATAACAGACAAGATTAACACTAAAGTTTAACACACTACCCCATATAACAGACAAGATTAACACTAAAGTTTAACACACTAGCCCATATAACAGACAAGATTAACACTAAAGTTTAACACACTACCCCATATAACAGACAAGATTAACACTAAAGTTTAACACACTACCCCATATAACAGACAAGTTTAACACTAAAGTTTAACACACTACCCCATATAACATACAAGATTAACACTTAAGACATCGTAGTGTAGTCTTGCTCTTTACTTACGTAATATTTGCCAAACATTTGAACAATTTTTTGAATAAAAAAAACTCCGTTAAAATACTCCGCTAGAGTTGCTCTTACTTTACCTTGACCTTTAAGCTACGTCTGATGAAAGAACCCGCACAATTCCTCAAGTAACCGACCCAGCCACCTTCCCCCACCCCCACATTGGACTAATCTCTCCCTCAAGTATCCGACCCCCCCCTCCCCCCCCCCCCCCCCCCCACTCCACCACCGGAATAACCTCCAAAGAACCAGGCAATGAGCAAATAACCGCTTGGGTAACATTAGAAAAGTTAAACAAAAATCCGGAATCTATTTTAATAGTTAAGAAAACAAACCCTAACGTTTGCTTTCGGCTTAATCCGTTGAATCCAATTCAGGGGGTAACTGGATAATGGACCAAAAAACTGGATGGTGTTATTTCAGATCCGTCCCCCCAATTACCAAATCAAATACCGCTGTATGGCCCATAATAGGATTGGCATGATTGTGTGAATGATCGGCTGCTCAACGGGAACTGTATCTCATCCACATCCGGTTCGACAAACACAACAGACGGGGTAACAGACACGTCTGCTGCCAGTAGAGTCAACATGGCTGCCTGCCCGGGGAGGGTCCCGTGCCTAGAGAGCAGACAGCGACACTTACGTAACTTTCTGTTGACCGAATCGCGTAACGAGATTTGACCCTGTTATAACCCCCCCCCCCCACCATTATTTTTTCCACCCATTCAGGTCTGGTGAAATTCAATCGCCTGTGACTCGCGACTTTAAATTTCTGTTTGTGATAGATCTCACATTTTAGAACTGTTTGTCAAAGATCTCACATTTTTAGAGCTGTTTGTCATAGATCTCACATTTTTATAGCTGTTTGTCAAAAATCTCATATTTTAGAGCTGTTTGTCATAGATCTCACATTTTAGAGCTGTTTGTCAAAGATCTCAAATTTTAGAGCAGTTTGTCAAAGATCTCACATTTTTATAGCTGTTTGTCAAAGATCTCACATTTTAGAGCTGTTCGTCATAGATCTCGACTTTTAGAACTGTTTGTCATACATTTTAGAGCTTTTTGTTATATATTTAACATTTTTAGAGCTGTTTGTCATTTATTTCACATTTTAGAGCAGTTTGTTATAGATCTCACAGACCTGAGAACTGTATCCGGAAACTATAAGCTACTATTGGTGCCAACGAGGCCCGAGAATCTGGCAATGGACTAAACACGTTTACTGCTGGTAGAATCTAGGTCAGGTCTAGTACAGAGATCAGGGAAACTTGAGGGCAACTCGAGACCATGAGAGTTGTCCGGAACTTAACAATACGACACTACATCTTCATCACTTCGTTTGTACATCGACGTTCCCTGACCCCAGTAACTACGTGATAGATCGGACTATTTTCATCATGTTTTCCCATGATTGTCCAAGACACATTGGGCAGGTGACGTAGAGTTGACCTGTTTCAATGACAAATGCATCTTGGGGGGGGGGGGGGCGTAGAGTGTGGTCAAACGATGCCCAGCTGCTATAGTTTCCCTAACCAGGTATCCATACAAGCTTGTTTGGCTCAGAGACTTCACGAGCGCGGGATTCGAATTTCGTTAGGGTAAACTGTCGTAAGCTCTACCACCCGACCACGCTGTCCCTTACACTGGCAGCTTGTACATCTCCACGAGATTCTCGTGTAAGTTGATGTCTCCACGAGATTCTCGTGTAAGTTGATGTCTCCACGAGATTCTCGTGTAAGTTGATGTCTCCACGAGATTCTCGTGTAAGTTGATGTCTCCACGAGATTCTCGTGTAAGTTGATGTCTCCACGAGATCTCGTGTACGTTGATAACCCCGCGAGATTCTCGTGTAAGTTGATGTCTCCACGAGATCTCTGTAAGTTGATATCTCCACGAGATTCTCGTGTAAGTTGATATCTCCACGAGATTCTCGTGTAAGTTGATGTCTCCACGAGAATCTTGCCGTTGTTCATATCTCCAGGAGATTATCACGGTAGTTAATCAACCTCAACGAGATTCTCGCGTTAATTCATACAAATGAACGTGATTCTCGCGTTAGCAGATACAAATGAACAAGATTCTCGACCCCGTGGATTTAGCTCCAAGCGTGGATCCACATCACCAAGACTCCCCACAAAGATATTTGAAAAAAAAATCCAACTCGCCCATTATTGAAACAACTCCGTCGAAAATTTTCCATTCCATCTTATAATAGAGCAGTTGTATCATTCGCATTTTTCAAGTGCGCTCCAAAAACGGGCGCGTCTACCCAGTAGCCCTAGGCTAGCTTCTGCGTGCGTTTCGCGTTAGACAGATAATAGTTTCTGTTTGAAGTGTATGGCACTCTTATCAGAAACCCCCGCCATCAACTAGGTAACACGTAACATGAACAAAAAAAATACATTTTTTATTTGAACACAGAAGACTTGACGCTAGATTGAGAAAAATAAAGGCAGCTGTTAACTTCATTCACTGCAAGAATCGCCCAGCAATTTTCGGCACAAAGACAGTAAAAATGTGCACAAGATGCCGACACACGATAGCACTTCAACGCTATAGATGGGGCTATGATACATCGTCGACTCCAGTACCGCAGCTATGATACATCATTGAGTGTATGGCTGCAGCAATGATACATCATTGCGTGTGTAGCTGTAGCAATGATACATCATTGAGTGTATGGCTGCAGCAATGATACATCATTGAGTGTATGGCTGCAGCAATGATACATCATTGAGTGTATGGCTGCAGCAATGATACATCATTGAGTGTATGGCTGCAGCAATGATACATCATTGAGTGTATGGCTGCAGCAATGATACATCATTGAGTGTATGGCTGCAGCAATGATACATCATTGAGTGTATGGCTGCAGCAATGATACATCATTGAGTGTATGGCTGCAGCAATGATACATCATTGAGTGTATGGCTGCAGCAATGATACATCATTGAGTGTATGGCTGCAGCAATGATACATCATTGAGTGTATGGCTGCAGCAATGATACATCATTGAGTGTATGGCTGCAGCAATGATACATCATTGAGTGTATGGCTGCAGCAATGATACATCATTGAGTGTATGGCTGCAGCAATGATACATCATTGAGTGTATGGCTGCAGCAATGATACATCATTGAGTGTATAGCTGCAGCAATGATACATCATTGAGTGTATTGCTGCAGCAATGATACATCATTGAGTGTATTGCTGCAGCAATGATACATCATTGAGAGTATAGCTGCAGCAATGATACATCATTGAGTGTATGGCTGTATTGCTGCAACTACGATATAACATTGTGTATAGCTGTAGCAATGATACATCATTGAGTGTATGGCTGTAGCAATGATACATCATTGAGTGTATGGCTGTAGCAATGATACAGCATTGAGTGTATGGCTGCAGCAATGATACATCATTGAGGGTATGGCTGTATTGCTGCAACTACGATATAACATTGCGTGTGTAGCTGTAGCAATGATACATCATAAGTTTAGCTGCATCTTTGATATTTTACCAACTCTACCTTCAACTAATATACATCATCAACTCAATCGCTATAGCTACATCTACACATCCCCATTCCCTATCCAGAAATTTTAAAACGATGGAATAATGAAGCTAATGTGAAAATGATTTCACTATGTGAAATATGTATTTAACTACAGTATCAGTCACACATCGTGTATTTAACTACAACATCAGTCACACATCGTGTATTTAACGACAACATCAGTCACACATCGTGTATTTAACTACTTTATCAGTAACACATCGTGTATTTAACTACTTTATCAGTAACACATCGTGTATTTAACGATAGAATCAGTCACACATCGTGTATTTAACTAAAGCATCAGTCACACATTGTGTATTTAACTAAAGCATCAGTCACACATTGTGTATTTAACTAAAGCGTCAGTCACACATCATGTATTTAACGACAGAATCAGTCACACATCGTGTATTTAGCGACATCATCTGCTCACACAAACACCCTCACTACCCCACACAAAAACCCTCACTACCCTACACAAACACCCTCACTACCCCACACAAACACCCTCACTGCCCCACACAAACACCCTCACTACCCCACACAAACACCCTCAATACCCCACACAAACACATCACTGCCCCACACAAACACCCTCACTGCCCCACACAAACACCCTCACTACCCCACACAAACACCCTCACTGCCCCACACAAACACCCTCACTACCCCACACATTACACTCTCACTGCCCCTCACATTACACTCTCACTCTCCCACACAAACACCCTCACTGCCCCACACAAACACCCTCACTACCCCACACATTACACTCTCACTGCCCCACACATTACACTCTCACTCTCCCACACAAACACCCTCACTGCCCCACACAAACACCCTCACTACACCACACATTACACTATCACTGCCCCACACATTACACCCTCACTGCCCCACACAAACACCCTCACTGCCCCACACAAACACCCTCACTGCCCAACACAAACATCCTCACTACCCCACACCCCCCCCCCCACACAAACACCCTCACTACCCCACACCCCCCCACACAAACACCCTCACTGCCCCACACACCCCCACACAAACACCCTCACTACCCCACACAAACACCCTCACTGCCCCACACAAACACCCTCACTGCCCCACACAAACACCCTCACTGCCCCACACAAACACCCTCACTACCCCACACAAACACCCTCACTGCCCCACACACACCCACACAAACACCCTCACTACTCCACACAAACACCCTCACTTCCCCACACAAACACCCTCACTGCCCCACTACCCCACACAAACACCCTAACTTCCCCACACCCCCACACAAACACCCTCACTGCCCCACTACCCCACACAAACACCCTCACTGCCCCACACCCCCACACAAACACCCTCACTGCCCCACACTACCCCACACAAACACCCTCACTGCCC